TTGGTAAATGGTTAATTTGTGCTGCTTGTGGAATATCCAAGGGGTAGTTGCTGTCCATGGTCTGGAGCTCAGAGAGAAGTCTGGGTGAGTGATGGTTTTGGGAATTGTCCATATAGAGGGTCCTTAAAGTCATGGGAGTGACTGAGGCCATCTGGGGAAATGAAAAATGGGCCCCAGACAAGAGACAACCACCCGTGGTCCTGCTGTCAAGGTGCTCTCCCTGGTACAGAAGGGGAGCCAAATCCTGCAAAACTTCATAATACCAGGCAGACTGAGTTCTGTACTTTAATGAAGTGTGGTCAGAGTTCTGGGCTCCAAAATGGGGATTGAGAGGAGGCTCAGCTTTCTGACACCAAGTTTGCTCCAGGTAATTCAGCTGAAAGGGAAAAAGGGAGATCTGCAGTGCGGTTGTGAGATATAACCACCAGGTGGCACCACGGCATCTCTTTGTGCCAGATTTCCCCACTGCAACACTCTTAGCCAGGCCCATTGCAGGAGTCTGGAAGGAGGAGGAGGGTGGCTATTTTGGCAATAAAGGAGGCACACTTGAGTTTTTCTTAACATAAATGTAGAGTCCAAATGCAAGCTCACTTTTTGAAAAGAGAAGGAAAAAGTTGAGCCTGGGAGAGGAGCGATATGCCAAGTATGCCAAACGGGAGTCCATGTATGTTTGAGCATGTACACCTACATGATCTGTTCTATGTTCCCATGGATGTCTCTGTGCATGTTGTGAGTCCAGGCATGTCTGCATGTCTCCACCTGTTTGTATGTGCCCCAGAGAGTGGGCAGCCAGAAATCCCCACCTCCATACCTCAGAGAGTGAAGAATCCGTCAGCCCTGAAAGAGAAGAGCTCCAGAGTCTGAAACTCATTTATCAGATATCTCCTCAGATTATACCGGCATTCTATGTCCACATAGAGCCTTCCTAAAGAACCCCTTAATAGGCTGATGAATTCATAAAGTCATCCATTCATTCATTCATCATTTATTTGATAAGCATTCATTGACCACCTGCCATGCACCAAGTGCAGTGCTGGACACATTTTCTGTTTCTCCTTTAATCTTGTGAAGTAGTTCAAGATGCAGGAAAGGAAAGTTAGTCACAACTGCAAAGGGTCTGGAATGCTGGTTATAGTGTTTGAACTTTTTTTCCTAAAGGTGGGGTCATGGGGAGCCCCATGAGAGTTTTCAGTAGTGAGTTAACATGGTCCAGTCACTGTTGGTGCTGAATGGAGTTGGAATTAAATCAGAAGAGATACGAATGAGGTCAGAAAACCAGCTAGGGGGTCGTTGCAATGTCCTAGACAGTTCTCAAGCATTAGTATGCTTCTGAGTCACCTCAAGGACTTATTAAAACACAGATTGTTGGGCTCCACCCCCAGAGTTACTGATTCAACAGATCTGAGGTAGATTCCAAGAACTGGCACTTCTAACAAGTTCCCAGATGTTGTTCGTGATGCTGGTCCAGGGAACCACACTTTGAGAACTACTGGTATATGAGAAAGAATAAGGTAGTTAAAAATGCTGGGATACCTGCCTCAAGTCTCCTCCACATACGTTCCATGGGTAGATGTTTAAGGGTTAGAAATGGCAACATTCCATGAGGATTAGCTTGTGGGGGTTAGGGAAAAAATCCAAGACTCTTCTGGGATGACTGGCAAGTTTTGAACTCGAAGGATGGTGTTGTCATTTACAGAACTATAGAACATAGGAGGAGAAGGGGGTTGGGGTTGGTGGTGGGGGTGGAGGAGATGCTGAGTCCAGTTTTGGACTTGGGAAGTTTCAGGTGGCTGCAACGAGATGTCTGGAGGAAATATCCAGCTGTCAGTTGTGTTTATGGGTCTGGATCTCTAGTGAGGTCCAGGGTTGGGAGAGAACAGTGCACAGGTAGTCATTAATGACTTGAAAGGGGATGAACTCACTCATGAAGAGTGTAGATAGAATAAAAAGGCAGAAGCTTCTACTCTAAGGATGAATAACTGTCATTAAAGATGGGGGTAAAAAGAGAGGAGACAGAAAAAGAAGACAGAAATGATCAGAGTAGGAGGAGAACGGGGCAAGAAGGAGGGTGTCTTAAGCTTCAAGAACATAGGGTGAGGAAACCCAAGGAAGCCCCCAGACAGGCAGCCCAGCCTGTCACTCTGGCCTTCCCAAGCCTGCTGGAGAGAGAAGGGGCATCCCCAGAGCTGGTCATGGGCATCATCTGCCTTGCTGCTCCTGGACTCTTGGGCCATGCATTGCATATGTCCTGGAGCTTGACTGCCGACGTCCTGTGGCTGATGTTGAGGGTGGGAGGAAGAGGGATATCGCCACAGACTTGCATACCCACAAATATATAGATACACATACAAACATACTCCTGACCTCTGATCTGCCCTGGGCAGGTAGGTTGTAGAGCTTCCCAATTCTGCTCCATCCACTACCCTAGGTGGTGTTTCAAACCTCTGAAACATTCTTGGTGATGAATCCTTGGCTGCTAGCCTCTTCCTTTCCTCACAGCCCTCCAGGTTGAGATGACCCAGGACTGACCTTTGCACCTATCATGTGCCTTCTGGGATACCCACGAAGTGTATTCTGGGTTACCCACCTGGAACCATATGTTCCATGGGTTAATGGTGTCACCTTCATCTCCCTTTCTCTTCTAGTCTACCTCAATATTTTTACCTTTATCTTCTTATCTACTACTTCCCTAAAAAGTGACTTAAGAAAACAACTAGTCTTCTCTGCCTTCCCCTACTTTTCTATTATTGTTGAAGAAACCAAGATTGGAGAGGAAAATGGACTCTCCCAGGATCACACAGTCACTTGCAGTCAGGACTAAATTCTAGGCCCCTGAGTCTAAGGCAATAAAGAATAGTGATTCTGAGCAGAGAGAGGGGCTAGAGGCAGCCTACCCCAGCTATGCACTTCACTAGCTCCTTGGCCTTGGGCAAGTCATTGAACCTCTCTGCACTCATTCCTCCCCTGAAAACGGGGGTGATAAGGGTATCTATCTCACAAGGCCATTATGAGGGTTAAATAACTCATTATTCATAAAGTACTTAGCACAGAGGCTTATTACACATTCTGTAATAAGTGTTTACTGTGATTATTCCTACTATGCTCTGCATATCTTCTTGCTTTTTTAAACATCTTCCTTCTGCTTTCTTAATTCCCTTTCTCCTTAGCATTCCTCTCATTTGCCTTTCATTAATCCTTGTCTTGCTTTTCAGGAGGGGAGGGTTGGGTTTTGGAGAAAGAAAGAAGGAGTGACTTGTAGAGACTGGAACATGCTTGACAGCCAGCCAGTGCCTGCCATGGTAACACATAAACACATAGCCTGTGCATGTCAGTGTAACAATTGCACCCCATCCACGTGAGTCAGTTACACAGATTCACTCAACAGTCTCTAGGTGTCCCAGGCTCACATTTAATCAGCCCAGGCCCCTGTGACCTCAGAAACATTAAGGCCCCTTCTCAGGTGGCGTTCATGTCCAAACCTACCCCAGGCAACTCTCTCTCTGGCCAGTTTGTGTCTCTGACTTCCTCAAATCCTGGCTTGACATGGAAGGTTACCAACCCAGGAAGCCTGGGTTAAATGAACACCGTCGAAGGGGTTTTGATCCAGAACCATTCAGAAGAGACTGTGACAGACCCCTGATATACATATACACAGGCACACTGACACACGTGTGCACATTAGCCAATTGGCTTGAGCTTGCAGCTCACAAACTTCTACATTCACAGTTGCCCACCTCATCCAAAGTCTGGTGAGGTGGTTAGAGAAAGGACTGATACCCATTTTACAGACGAGGAAGCTGAGGCCAGCAAAGAGCAGCGCTTTGCTCAAGGGCAGACTCGATAGAGCCCAGCAAATGTAGGGCCCCTGCGTTCCAGCCTTGAATCCTCTGTTTCACTGCAGCTGCGAGCCCAGAAGGCGGGTCAGATCAGCAGGGGGGGTGAATTCACGCCCCCCATCCCACCCCACTCGTTCTGCCAAAGCCACGCCTCCGCTTTGGAGGCCGCTGGGGAAAAGGGAGCGCGCGGCCTTAGCTTGTCTCTTTAATGCGCGCCTCCGGAGGCCCGGCGCGCCCCCGCCACTATAACTGGAGTGCATGGAGCAGACTGCGCTCAGAGGGAGAAGGGCGGGCGCTGGGCACCCGCTCGCCGACTTTTCCAAGTGCGATCAGCGCCCGTCCGTGCCGCCTCCATGGACCCACCCGGGGGTGCCCACTGCTGAGGACCCTACGCCCGCTAGGCTCCGGGCTGGTGTGCACCAGCTGCTGCACCGTGACCCCGCGGGCTCTGCCGGCTCCCCGCGCCTCTTGCCGCAGCGCTCGCCGTCGGGCGAGGACTCCGCCGCCGCCACGCCTCGCGCCCCGCGCTACCCGCCCCATGCTGGTCCACCCTTACTCCGCCGTGGTAAGCAGTCTCGGGAGATCGTATAACTTCGTATAATGTATGCTATACGAAGTTATGCAGACTCGATAGAGCCCAGCAAATGTAGGGCCCCTGCGTTCCAGCCTTGAATCCTCTGTTTCACTGCAGCTGCGAGCCCAGAAGGCGGGTCAGATCAGCAGGGGGGGTGAATTCACGCCCCCCATCCCACCCCACTCGTTCTGCCAAAGCCACGCCTCCGCTTTGGAGGCCGCTGGGGAAAAGGGAGCGCGCGGCCTTAGCTTGTCTCTTTAATGCGCGCCTCCGGAGGCCCGGCGCGCCCCCGCCACTATAACTGGAGTGCATGGAGCAGACTGCGCTCAGAGGGAGAAGGGCGGGCGCTGGGCACCCGCTCGCCGACTTTTCCAAGTGCGATCAGCGCCCGTCCGTGCCGCCTCCATGGACCCACCCGGGGGTGCCCACTGCTGAGGACCCTACGCCCGCTAGGCTCCGGGCTGGTGTGCACCAGCTGCTGCACCGTGACCCCGCGGGCTCTGCCGGCTCCCCGCGCCTCTTGCCGCAGCGCTCGCCGTCGGGCGAGGACTCCGCCGCCGCCACGCCTCGCGCCCCGCGCTACCCGCCCCATGCTGGTGCACACTTACTCCGCCGTGGTAAGCAGTCTCGGGAGACGGGGCACGGGGGCATGCTCGGCCGGGGGATCGGGGAGCCTGAAGGCTGGACTTTCCAAACCTCCTGCCTCCGTGCCAACGAAATCTCGGAGGGACCGGGCCACAGGGACTCAGTCAGCTGGGAATGCGGCGCTCAGGAGACCTGTGTCCCCAGCCTGAGTCGAGATAGACCTCAGTCCCCGGGAAGCGGGAGGGATAGCAGCCGGACCCTCGCAAGCTAAGGGGTTATCCTTTGGGGCTGGGGTTCTTTCAGCTGCCAGTGGGTTGCCTAACGCGTCCCCCTCCTTCCCCAGGAGCGCCCCGACGGGCTGGGCGCAGCGGCTGGCGGGGCCCGCCTGTCGTCTCTGCCCCAGGCGGCCTACGGGCCGGCTCCGCCGCTCTGCCACACTCCCGCCGCCGCAGCTGCCGCCGACTTCCAGCCGCCCTACTTCCCGCCGCCCTACCCTCAGCCGCCATTGCCCTACGCTACGCCGCCGCGGTGCCCCGGCTCCTGCACGGCCTGGCAGACGGCGCGCACGGCCTGGCAGACGCGCCCCTCGGCCTTCCGGGGCTGGTGGCGCCGCCCAACCTGGAGGACCTGCAGGTGAGGCCCGAGAGGTCCGGGACGGGCAGGGACCGGCCGCGGTGATTTAGCACCCTGGATGGAGGCAAAAGGTGATAAACGCGGGAATCCAACTTTTCTGCCAGCCTGCCACTTCTCACTTATGACTCTGAGAATGCGTCCCACCTCCCGGGTCAGACGCAGCCTGGTCATTAGGGCGCAGTGCCGGGATGGTGGCAACCCTCAGCAGGGACCGAGTCACTTCTCTGCCTCCCGGCTGGGCCGTTGAGCCTCTTAGCGCAGCCACGCCCTGTCCCAGTCTGCTGGGGCAGCCTGCGGCTGGGGCGAAGACAGGCGCAGCAGTTGCCTGTCTAAGGTTCAAAATCCTCTTTTTGCACGGCACGGTGAGGTACCTAAGGCCCCAGCTCAGCCGCAGATGGTGGCGAGGCACTGCGATTCCTAGTCCCGCCCGTCACCGCCCCAGGCGACGGTGGTGCGCGCTGGGCGGAGCAGACAGGGACCCCGGGTAGCAGGGGATTGAAAACCGACAGACGACTAGGTCCACACGCGCCCTGACCGCCTCCTTCTAATTTGCAGGCCATGGATGAGCCGGGAATGAGCCTCCTGGACCAGTCCGTGATCAAGAAAGGTAAGGATCAGCAAGCGTCTGCCAGGGCAGAGCCCGGCGAGATGGTGCAGGCCCGGGGCGCACAGACCCATTTTCTTCAACGCGGCCCCTTCCTCCTGGGCGTCGCCAGGCTCGGTGGCCACCGCACTCTCTTCCCGGCCTAGGAGAGGGGCAGCAGAAGCTGCAGGCCTGGCTAGAGAGTGGGCAGCGGCGCAGGCTTGGTGAGTTGGCCCCGGAGCCTGTGGCCTAGGGTGGGCCTGACCCCCGTCTGCGCTCACGCGGCTGCCGCGCGTGGGTGGGGGGGAAGGGCCCTGGCATCTCCCCGCCGAGGGGGGGACGCTCGTGTAGATCTGGAGTTAATTTGCAGAACGAGTTAGACCACTTCCCTGTTTCCTAAGAGGTGGGAATGGGAGTGCTCTTCCCACGAATTTCGGTAAATGATTTCCACTTTACAGAATCTTAGTATTTTGGAGCCTGGCAGGCACTTTCCGCCCTTTCCTTCCCAGCAGGGCCTTAGGGGCCTTGCGTTTCCCCGGGGAATTTTCTTTCCACGGGAGACTCCTGGTGGCGTTTAGGATTAGGGGAGCTGGTGTGTGAATATTGTGTGTTAGGCTGTGTGCATGCGGGTCACAGCCTGCCTTCTACTGGGTGTCAGTGTCTACATGAGTTCAGAGTCCGGTCTATATGGTCTTTTCTTAGGTGTTATTATATTTCTTGGCATGTAAGTGTGTCTCTTTTGTTGTGAGTGAATTTGTGATGCTTGTCCGTGTATGTTGGTGTACATTTCTCTGCATCTGAGATTCTCTATATGTGTTACAGAGTCTCTGTTGTGTCCTGGAATTTGTTCTTTGGTATATGCAGATTTCTAAGCATGTGAGGGTCCCTCCTTGTGTATTGTGGGAGTATCTGTGTGTCTCTTTGCATTAGTAAAAGCCAGAAGCGTGAGACCCTTCCTATAGTGGATTTTCGGGCATGAGGACTGAGTTTTGGCCATTCCAGGGAAATGTCAGAGAGACAGAGAAAGAGACAGAGACTGACTCAGAGGGGCCCAGGCTTTGGGTGGATGCCGGAAGGAATTCCGAGGCGCACAAGAGCTGGAGATGCTCCCGTGGGATTTGGCTCGAGTTGTTTTTCACACTACTGAATTCAAGCCTGGGCTCTGCTTACCCTCCACACATTCTCAAAGGAGGCTTGGGTGGATGTGGGGACTGGACTTCCAGGAGCTGGGGCTGGGTATCCAGGGCTGGGAGTGGGTTACAGGCCTCCCAGAACATGGTGGGGGTAGGAGGGTTCCAGGAATTGAGGCTGTGTCACCTGGAGCTGGGGATGTGGAGAGGACACTGGGAACCTGGCTGCACTCTGGACCTAGAACTTCGCTGGCAAGCGCTTCCTTTGCTTAGTGGACAGCGTCTTTCTTGAACCCCACACAAGGAAGAGCCTGGTCTGCAGTTGGCAAAAGCCTGCTGCTGGCTTTGTCCACCAGAGATATGGCCACGTCGCAGGCCCCCAGTTCCCAACTCCTGCCCGGGCTCAAGGGGTCGGGGGCCTAGGTTCACTGACTCCCTGAGGGAGGCCTGCATTTTGAGAGGGGGCTTGGGGACCTCTGCCCTGGGGAAGAATAGAAGGATCAGCTGTTGCTCTGAGCACCTTAACCCCAAACCCCAGACCAGAGCCAGAACAGGAGACAGGATTGGAGGAGGGACTGGAATTGCTCCAGAGTTGGTTTCTCTCAAAGGACATCAGTTTCCAAAACTCTCAAATACTAACTCTTCGCCGGAATCCACGAAGGCAGTCCCAAGAACACGAGTGTGGCCCGAACTGTCCCGGGTGCTGCACGCTGGCTTCCCGGGGCGGGTGGGCGCTGCGGCGGGCGGGGAGCGGCAGCGCGGACACGGGCGTGCACACCGGCGGGACCCCAGGGCCAGCCGGTCGGTGGCCGAGCGGAGCGCGGTGGAGCGCCAGCGGCATGAGTGGGAGATTGCAGCCTGGACGCCCACCCCAGTCATCGAGTTACAGCCTGAGGCGCTGCAGCAAAAAGGGAAGGGGCAACAGCCGGGGGCTCGGTGCGGAAGGAAGCGCCTGGTTCCAGAGGCGCGGTCTCAGCAGTCCGCGGCCAGGGCGGGCCTCTGGGGAGGACAGAGGGTCAGTGCGGGCGCTTCGGGCTTCGCAACCGCGCAGGCAGAGCTGGGTCCGCTGGTCACGACCTAGGGGAAGTGTGGACGGGTGACCCAGGGGAGCCGCTGTGGTTAGGCAAGTGGCCCGGCTGGAGCCCTGCTGCCTAGAGGCGACGTCCCCACCCTCGCGCAGCCGGCAGTTTTCACCTGGGCCTCCGCGGTCACTGCGGGACTCCCCCCCCTCGCTGCCAGCCTCTTGGGTCGCCAGCTGGGCAGTGGATTAGCGCCGGCCTTCGTCCTCAGGCCCTTCCGACGGCATCCGGAGCCCTTGTCGTGTACCGAAGACCTCCGATGCCCGCCCGGTGCGGTGCGAGGCCCCCCGCGCGGCGCCCGGGCCCTGGAACTTTAGAAGCCGCTCTTAGCCAGCTGATTGCTCCAGCTCCGGCCGTGGCGGGAGGCGCGGCTGCGTCGCGGGCGGGAGGTTGGGGTCCTGGGTGCGAGACGGAGACAGCCCCAGCCCGACACCAGAAGCGGCATTGCTACCGCGGGGAGGCTTGGGCCTCGACTTCTCCTCTTCAGCTGGGGAGAGGAGCCTGGAAGCTCTCAGAGCCCAGAACTGGGTTATAAAATCTTCGCGGACTCCAGGCACTCGCCCCGGAGGGGAGAGAAGACAAAGCCCCCGCCCCACCACACACTTCCAGGTCGCCCACCCCTTGCAGGGGTCAGGGCAGGGCAGACAGGGCTGAGGCCAACCGCAGGAGAAATGGGGAGCCCTCCGTTTTCTGCCCTCATTTGTCACCTCCGGTTCTGCAACCTGTCCCATAGACACAGAAAGCAAGCGGGACTGGTGGGGGAGACGGAGCTGGACAGGAGTATCATCCAGGCAAGAAGGGTAGTGAGCCGGTCTGTACAGGACGCAGAAGGAGCTCAGGGTTGGAGCAGTGATTGCCTGAGGGTGGGAGGCTTTCTAGAGGGGAGACATTTGAGCCGAGCTCCGTAGGGGCTCCGCGGGTGAGTTGAATGAATGGGTGGTAGGTTTTGAAGTCTGAGCGCATGGGAGGAGGGGAGGTAGAAAGAGCAGAGCTATTTTCACCACACTAGGCACAGCATGTGCAAATGCCCTCCCTGTGGGAAAGACAGGCAGGCTTAAAAGGCTAAAAACTTGCGTGGGTTTTAGGTTTTGCTATTACAGCTGGAGGGAGTGATTTCAGGATGAGACTTGAGATATATCCCTCTGGAGGAAAGTGGGTGGTGCCTATTTGGGGATGGGGAATCCTCTCCACAGGCTCCACTATCCAATCTCAGGGGGTCTCCCTGACAGGGGCTGATGTAAATAGTCACCCTCTCTTCTGTTCTTCTTGGCTCTGAGGAAGAGGTGGGGAGAGTCTGGGCTTCCAAGTGAATCTCCAAGCAGTCCAGGACTGGAGTAAGATGAGTGACCTACACAATCTAAAGAGGTACCAAAAAACTCAGTAATCAAGATTAATAATATGTTAATGCAGCATTTTAAAATGAAAAAATGCAAAAAGCCATGATAAATTATCAAAAAGTTACATAAAGACAGAATCTGACCCTGCACTTCAACAATCCTTCCTCACCTGCCTCCCAGGCTACTGTCTGCCCCAGAAAGCAATTAAAAGAACAGTGCCTAATGCAAACAGTTTGGGATTTACCTGAGGACAGTAGGAGCCGTGGAACAGCGTGGAGCAGGAGAGTGAGAGATAGGAGCTATGTTGAAAAGAAACCCTCTGCCAGCTGATGAAAAGGAAACGTAACCAGCAAGTCCCACTGGGGTAGACAAAGAGCCCAAAGAGGACTAGGGGAAAGGTCACCACCCCTCCTATTGCCTTCCTCCCGACACCTCCCACCACGCTTTGGACTAGTGGTACCCTAAGTATGATCTAAGAAACCACATGCATCAGAATCCCCTGGGGGTGCTTGTTTAAAATGCAGATTTCCTGGAAACCATCCTACATCTACTGAATAAGAATCCCTGGAAGTAATTTGCATTAATTTTATTTTATTTTTATCGCTTCTCGACCTTTTGGCCAAGATGAAGTGTATTTTATTTTATTTTTATTGTACATGTTTGTAGGGTACAGTTTGTCGTTCCATGGAACTTGCATTTTAAAACTGATTTATTGAGGTAAAATTTACATACCTAAAGTCCACCCATTCTAAGAATACAATTTGATGGGTTTTAGTAAGTGTATGGAGTTGTGTAACCATTACCACAATCCATTCTGAGACATTCTATTTTTTTTTTTTAAAGATGACCGGTAAGGGGATCTTAACCCTTGACTTTGGTGTTGTCAGCACCACGCCCAGCCAGTGAGCGAACCGGCCATCCCTATATGGGATCCGAACACGGGGCCTTGGTGTTATCAGCACCGCACTCTGGGCCGGCCCCATTTTGAGATATTCTAATTGTCCCCAAAAGTTCCTTCACTCCTACTTGTAGTTAATCCCCACTCTTACCCCAAGCCTTAGGCAACCACTGATCTGCTTTCTGTCCATACCTTTGCATATTCTGGACATGTTATACAAATAGAATATATAAATATGCAGACTTTTGCATCTAGCTTCTTTTATTTAGCATACTGTTTGGTTTTTTGTTTGTTTGTTTTTTAAAGATGACCGGTAAGGGGATCTTAATCCTTGGCTTGGTGTTGTCAGCACCACGCTCAGCCAGTGAGCGAACCGGCCATCCCTATATAGGATCCGAACCCATGACCTTGGTGTTAACAGCACCACACTCTACCGAGTGAGCCACGGGCTGGCCCAGTAGTTTGTTTCTTTTTATAACTAAGTAGTATTCCATTGTGTGGATGTAATATTTTCTTTATCTATTGGTCAACTGATGAGCACCCGTGTTGTTTCCATTTTTGGCTGTTATGAATAATGTTGCTATGAACATTCATATACATGCCTTCGTATAGACGTATGTTTTTATTGCTCTTGAGTAAATTCCTAGGAGTAGAGTTGCTGGATTGTATAGTAAGTTTATGCTTAATTTTTAAGAAACTGCCAAGCTGTTTTCAGAAGTGGCTGTCCTCTTTTACATTCCCTTCAGCAGTGTGTGGGGGTTCCAGTTTCTTCACATCCTCACCCAAACTTGGTATTGTCTTTTTGATTATAACCAGCTGGTTTTAATTTGTATTTCCCTAATGACTAATGATGTTGAGCACTTTTTCATGTGCTTATTAGCCATTAATCTATCATTTTTAATGAAATGTCTGTATTTTGACCATTTTCTAATTGGCTTGCTATCGAGTTGTAAGAGGTTTTTTTATATATTTGGATACAATACACATCCCTTATCAGGTATATGATCTGTAAATATTTTCTTCCAGTCTGTGGTTTATCTTTTCATTTTCTTAAAAGTGTCTTTCGGGCTGGCCCGTGGCTCACTTGGGAGAGTGCGGTGCTGATAACACCAAGGCCATGGGTTCGGATCCTATATAGGGATGGCCGGTTAGCTCACTGGGTGAGCGTGGTGCTGACAACACCAAGCCAAGGGTTAAGATCCCCTTACCAGTCATCTTTAAAAAAAAAAAAAAAAGTGTCTTTCAAGGTGCAAAAGTTTTAAATTTTGATGAAGTCCAGCTTATCATTATTTTATTTTATGGATCATGCTTCTGTTGTTGTATCTAGGAACTCTTTACCCACCCCAGGGTCATGAAGATTTTTCTCCCCTATTTTCTTCTAGAAGGAATTGGGGTTTTTGTTTGTTTTGTTTCATTGGCAGCTGGCTGGTAGTAGGGGGATACAAAAGGAAATATGATTTCAACAAGATTTCTGGGAGCATCTGTTGCACTCTCCCCAGATTCAGTAGTCAGACACATACCTGTGGATAGTGTGGAGATGTATATGTGTGCCTTGTCTGACAGGTTGAATAACTGAGCCTTGTGTCTGCAGGAGTGTGTATGTGAATGGCTTCTGTGTATGTGACCAAGGGGACACCATGAGCAGACTTCTCAGCTTCAGGAGTCACCAGGGTGGGGCCTGTCCTGTGGGTGTGGGAGACAAACACCAGTGTCTCTGCTTTGCCATCTGTGTTAGTTTAATCCACCTCCATGACTCCCCTTCCCCAGCCCACCTGCTTCCCTAACCTTGGACTCCGTCCCTCTTGCCATTTTTGAGGAAAGAGGCTCTGTTGATAAAGGGACAGTTGGGAGGAGCAGCAAGGTCTATCATTCATATATACACAGAAACATCCACATGTCGTGTCATTACACTTAGCTGCACCTAAGTTTGCATAAATCAGGCATCAGCAGGAGAAAGCACTTGCAGATATCCATATGCATGCTGCCATATTCCCACACACTCAAGGAGGGCAGAGACACTGGATGTATAGCTGCGGCTCAGCATTTGTTGAATGAGTATGTGTACACATGCACAATCTCACCCTCATTGCTGTATCTATGATGAGGGCATACCGTTTTTGTGTACAGTCACTTTTTTGACACAGGTCCTGTTTGCACATGCACAAACAGCCTCATGCACGCTTGGTCTCTCTCCCCTCTCACAGGGCCTGGCCTGGCCTCAGGGGACCCCAGATTTTCATAGCAGTTGGGTGGAGGAGGCTGCTGGAGGAGAGAAGAATTTCCTGGTCCTCTGATACCTCCCTCTGGCTAGGGGTGATGGAAGGGAGGAGAATCACTTTGCCCTTCTTTTTCTTTTTTATTTATCAATTTGTGGTTTTATTTTTTATTATTTTATTTGATATTTATTATTATTTTTTTTAAGTCAAGCTTGTGATATAATTTACATACAGTACAGTTTACCCTCTTTATTTATTTTTGGAGGCAGCTGGCTGGTGTGGGGATCCAAACCTGTGACCTTGGTGTTATGAGGCTATGTTCTAACCAAGTTAACCAGCCAGCCTAGTTCATCCTTTTTAGATGTACATTTCTATGAATTTTGACAAGTGTATACATAGTCATGTAACCACTAAAACAATCAAGATATGGAATAGTTCCATCACCCCCAAAAAGTCCCCTTTGGGCAGAGGGACACAGCTGAAGAGAGAACCTGGGGGTAGAGCACACAGGTGCACAGGCATGGGAGACACCAGGGTTGGGGGGAGGGCAGGGAGGGCTCCTACTGCATGTCCATTGTCACTGTGTCTGTTGAATCAGGACATCCTTGCTCCTCATCTGGTGTGGGGCCACAATTAGGGTAAGCAAGTGAGGCAGGGTCGTGCAAGATCAGGATCAGAGCCTGCCTTTATTTAAAATTTTGATATTTTTTCATCATGAACTTTTGACATTGTTTATCTTTAAAAGGTTTGCATTAAAATACCACAGATCTTGATTACTGAGTTTTTTTTTGTACACTCGATGCGAGTGCCTCACTTGCCTTACCCTAGTTCTAGCCCTGCCCTGGCACAGGGAACTTGTCTGGGGTGCGTGTGGGGGTGCTGCTCATTCTTTCCATATCCCTCAACTCTCTACTTTTCCCACTCACCCCTTCCAAGACCTTCCCCCCTCCCCCATATTTGAAGGGGGACCCAGGGAGGAAGGGCAGGTTTATTATCAGTTGACATCTGGGCTGTGGTTCATCACCCTTTTTCCCACATTGGGTTCCCAGGACCTTGCTTCACTCATTTATGACATTCACTGATAGCAACCTGTGCCAAAACCCTACCTTCGATGCACTCCTAGTTGGTGGGAAGATAGCTATGGAAACAGACAAGGAAGGTTCTGGGAGGTAAGGAGTCAGGGTGGGGTGAGAGGGAGCTGGGGTGGAGGGGCCCGGGAAACTCTCTGCAGAAGAAGATACCAGCTTATCATTAAGTGGTTTGGGAAGGAAGGGACATGCTCAGGAGAGCAAGGAAGGGCCTCTGAGACATATACCCTGGGGGTCCACATCCCAGGTGGTGCTTCCCACAAGTTCCTTTTGGCCTGTGCTAGGTTTTAAAATTTGTGTGTGTGTGTGTTTGTGTGTGTGTCTAGCCAGTGTGGGGATCCAAAACCATGACTTTGGTGTTATAAGGCTGCGTTCTAACCAACTGAGCTAACTAGCCAGCCCCAAATGTGGCTACGACATATGTGGCTCACATTATATTTCTGTTGGTCAGTGTGGGTCTAGAGACTAAAGGACAAACGGAGACCAGGCAAGAGGAGTAGGCAGGAGGCAGAACATGAAGGAGGGTGAAAGAGGACATCATAACCGGAGGGTTAAGGATGTGAACTCTGGAGTCGGGTCAGAGTTCAAGACCCATTTCTGCTCCATTTTAACCTCTTTGAACTTTCTGTTTCTCCATTTTGAAATGATCATATGGGCAATAGCATCTTCTCCATAGAGCTGTTCTCAGAAAGCATGTGGTATCAGGTCTTGGCACACAGGTGCTCAGCAAATACTTGCCGAATGGCTGGAAGGCTGCGCGCTGCCTTTGAGACCACAGTCCTGGGTTTGCTGCTGGTTCTCAGCCTAGCAGCTGTGTGATCTCAGGCACACTGCTTCACCTCTCTGGGCTTCAGTCTCCTTATCTGTAAAGTGGGAATAAGTATAGCCCCCTCGTGGGTTGTTCTGGGGATTCAGTGAGGGTATCTATGTGAGCACATAGCATAGTGAGTGCTCAGTAATTGTTAGCCCCAGACTCCCCGCTTGCCTCTGCCTTCACACAAGGCCTTGTCTGCCAAGGCTCTCGCTTCCTTGAAATAAGAGAAGGCCCTGGAGTTCCTCTGAAGAGCAAGAACCTCAATATTCTCCCTTCCCCCTGAGGCTGAGCAGGAGGATGGAGGTTAGACTGCAGGGAGAACTTTCTTTTAGAGCCAAGAGTATCTAAGTGAGTTTTAGAAAATTAACTTCTCAGATTCCCTTCCCTGACTTTCATAGCTAATTAGTAGATAATTAGGGAGTATTTGGGGGAGGGGGCTATAGGGCATATCTCCCTGTTCCTTATCTCCTTGAATATTCCAGAATGAATTGGCAGGAAGGGGGCCTGGGCTGAAGGCCTAATAGTGCAATAACCTCTCTGTCCCTAGGATGTAGGAGTCCAAAGCCCCCAGGCCCCTCACTGACCTTGGGGGTTGGGAGGACAGGGAGGATGAACGTGGGGATCATAAGTGGGAATGAGGACAGTTGGAGGCCCCTTGTGATTGGGATCTGGCTGGGCCCTGCCACAGTGACCCAAAAATCCTGCCCAAGCTCAGACCCCATCTCTTCATATCCACCTCCCTCTCTGATGGCACTTGCCAAAACACCAAGTCACTGCTGAAGCTGTTTGAGTTTTAGGAAGGCACTAGCCTGGCTCAGTGAGGGGGACATGGGTTCAAGAGCCAGACAGCTCTGGGTTCAATTTCCACACCTGTTTGCTAAGTGAACTTGGGTGAGTCACATAAACCTTTTTAAAGCAGGGAAAGTAGCACCTCCTCCAAAAGGTGCTGGGACATTTCAGTGCACATGGTTGGTCAGCACATCACCAACGCACCCCATCCACCATTGACTGGTCCCGTGCCCTGTGGTCACTGGCTCAGTGTTCCTCCCTCCCCGCTCTTGCTCCACAGTCCCCATCCCCTCCAAAGCCAGCAGCCTCTCGGCCCTCTCTTTGGCCAAAGACAGCCTGGTTGGCGGCATCACCAACCCCAGTGAAGTCTTCTGCTCCGTGCCTGGCCGGCTCTCACTGCTCAGCTCGACGTCCAAGTACAAGGTGACGGTGGGGGAGGTACAGCGACGACTCTCGCCTCCCGAGTGCCTCAACGCCTCTCTACTGGGGGGCGTCCTCCGCAGGTAGGAAGGCCAGCCCACAACTGCACAGCACCCAGCCCCATATCCCTGGTCTCCTCAGACCTTCTTAGGGCATCAGAGAGGAGCTGGCCTCACCCCAGGCCACAGCGTCATCTCTGCCTCAGTCTCCCTGGGGGAGAAGGGCCCAAGGATTCTAGATTGTGCATGCTCAGGGGGCAGGCCCAGGTCCCCAGCATTTCCCAACGTCTGTGGGGTTGGGGCTGGGGCAGGGGCAGAGAGATAAGCCTGGGCACAGAGAAGGGATGGAGAACTCACCCACATTGGGCAGAATGGACAAAGCTGGGTCTGGGGGAAGAGAGAGCGCCATCTCACCCACTCCCCTAGCAAAGGGACCCCCAAGACCTATGGCCCATTCGCCATGGCAGCATAGGCTTTGCTGGTGTGTGTGGCGTGGGGAGCAAGGCAGTTTCTGGCTTGTCTTCCTAGTCACTTGTCTGTCTCTGTGCATGTGCTTGTGCTGGGAAGGATGTCTCTGCTTCAGGGCTATGAGTTTTGATGAGCCTGAGAATGGTGTGCATGTGTGTAGCAGGGGATGGCCAAGAGTATATGTTTTCATGTGTGTGAGTGTCATGTGTTACTTTTAGTGGGATGTGTGGGCTAGAGTGTGTCCTACTGTGTGTATGTGTGTGTGTGTAATTGCATGTGCATCTGGAGTTAGTCATCTATATATTTACACATCTATACCTCTGTGTAGGGGTTGCATTTGTGCAGTTATAGGGGGTTTCTCCTTATTTTGGGTCTCTTTGAGCAACCTGGAGGGATGTGGCTAAGTCTCTAAGTGGTTGAACTTATGTTCCTGGAATCCTGACTTGGTGTAATCATGTGTCTCTATCTGTGTCTCTGGGTGTCCCTGGGCGTCTGAGTCTGTGTGTCTGTACATATGTCTGTCTCCATTGGTGTGTGTCTCTCTACTCTTGGCCCTGAGAGTGTATTCATCTGTCTGTCCATTTGTGTGTCTATGAGTCCCCGGATGGCTGTGTGTGTACCTGTGTCTCCCTGGGTATGTCTGGGTGTGTCTATGTCCCTGTGTGTCTCTGCATATAGGTCTATGCATCTCTGGGCAGCTGTGTATGGCCCAGTTAGGGTGCTAAGGTGGGGAAAAGACCCAAGATCCTGGCCTATCCTTCCCCACCCTGGGCTGCCCCTGCTGTTGAGAGAGGACTGGGAAGAAATGAGGGGCTCCTGGAGTTGGGTGCTGGGCCCCCACCCCTGTCTTGGCTGCAAAACCAGTGAGGTTAGGAAGAGGTTGGGACCTTGCTAAAAGAGACTCCAGAGCATTCCTAGGGCCAGACCCAAGCCTCAGCAGGGGTTGGTGGGGCAACAAGCCCCTTTTGGGGTCACTTATCCTACACGCTTCTCTCTTGTCTTCATAGTTGTGTGTGTGTCTCTCTCTGTGCATGTCAAGGGCTAAGTCCAAAAACGGGGGTCGGTGCCTGCGGGAACGGCTAGAGAAGATTGGGCTTAACCTGCCAGCTGGCCGTCGCAAGGCCGCCAATGTGACACTGCTGACTTCACTGGTGGAGGGTAAGTGAGGCCTGAAGGTGGGCGTGAGCAGGTGTGCGAGGGGATGTGTGTCATCTGGTGTGACTGTCTCTAATGCAGGAGGGTGTGTTTTGTCGTGTGTGTGCATATTCATGAAAGAGTTGCACTGTGTGTGTACTCTCTGTGTGTCATGTATAAGTAACGTGTATGTGTTCTGTGTGTGTAGTCTTTGTGTGTGTTTGCATGCACACGTGTGCACATGCAGTAGAGAGCTCCTTGCAATGTGTGTGCGTGTGTGTGTGAGCACATACACACAGGGAGTGGCGAGTGTTTAGATGTGGTAAAGGGATGAAGGGGATGAGAACCCCCTTCCCTGGAGGTTGGTGACTCTGGGGTCTGGCTCTGGGCTACTTGGTGGGCCCAGCTCCCATCTCTGAGCTCAGAGCCCCTCCCTGGTGGCCTCAAGGGAGGGCAGTGGAGTTGAGGCTGGAGCTGGACTGGGGAGAGAAATCAGAGGGGGCATCTACAGAAGCAGAATGGGGCAGGATGCCCTCTGGCCAGGGGTGGGATGTTAAAGGCTGTGCTCCAGGCTCAGAGGTACACCTGGCAGTAGTGACAGCTCCCCTCCCCCCAGGAGAGGCCGTGCACCTGGCCCGAGACTTCGGCTATGTCTGTGAGACGGAGTTCCCAGCCAAGGCAGCTGCCGAGTACCTGTGCCGACAGCATGCTGATCCCGGGGAACTGCACAGCCGCAAGAGCATGCTGCTGGCTGCCAAGTGAGTGAGGGCACCGTGCACAGGAGGTCATGGGTGCATGCACAGGCACAGACACCACCCATAAGCACACATGTGTACATGTGGCACATGTGCCACCACACATGGTCACAGTTGGCTCCCTGCTTAGGCTCACACAGGCACACATGTGCATGCCACATAGACACATGTGGGTGTATTTGGGCATCATGTTCATCACATGAAAACACACATGAACACTCCCCACAATCACCAGGAGCACACAAGGACACCACATGTGAACATATCTGGGTTGTATGCATCAGTAAAAAGTGTCACATACAGGCTCGCACAGGCCCATGTACAGGAACTTCACTCACATACACCGCCCCATGGCACCACCAGCCCCAGCCCCCTGCCTGAGCCTTGCCCATCAGCCCCTCTGCTCCAGTTACCTCCATCAGGCCCCCAGGTCACACCTGACCCCTCTGCAAGTACCACTGGTAACTCGCTGGCCACCATTCACATGTGTCTCCTCAACTCAGTCTCCTCATCTCATGCCTGGACCTTCACTCTAGAGCCCCAACGTCCCCTCAGCCTCCCTGCACATGTCTTGCTCCCCTGTCCAAGAACCTTCAATGGCTTCCACTGTTAATGCATTGATTGTCAAACAAGGTTCTGGGGGGACAGCTCAGGGACTGTTTAACAAACCAGTATTCCATTAAGATTTAGTTTTTCAGAAAGGGTCTCTGCCTTAGTCTGTCTGGGCTACTTTAACAAAATACCATAAACTGGGTGGCTAATAAGCAACATCAATTTATTTCTCACAGTTCTGGAGGCCAGGAAGTCCATGATCAAAGCAGATTCAGTGTTGGGGAAGGGCCTGCTTTCTGGCTCATAGACAGTACCTTGCTGCTGCGACCTCACATGGTGGAAGAGATGAGGTGTCTTTCTCTGATCTCTTTTATAAGGGCACTAATCCTATTTATGAGGTCTCTACCCCATGACCCTATCACCTTCTAAAGGCTCCACCTCCTAATACCATCACCTGGGGGTGGGTAGGATTTCAAGATATGAATTTGGGGGGGACACAACCCCCCATATTAACAACATGGCAGTTTCACTGTAAGAAAAGACAGAGAAAGAAAGGGATAGGGGAGAGATCTGAGAAGCAGCAATCTGTAGGCTAATGTCCAAACTCCTCTGAGGGCCCCACAATCTGGCCTACAGAAACCACCCACTTCAGTTGTCCTGAAGTGGCATTGCCCTCACATCCTCAGGCTTGCCCTTCTCCTGCTTTTTTTTTTTGGGGGGGGGGGGCGGCTGGCTGGTAAGGGGATCTGAACCATTGACCTTGGTGTTATAACACTGCATTCTAACCAACTGAGCTAACAGGCCAGCCCTCTCCTGCTTAGAATACCATTTAGTCCCCCTGCCTAATGCAGTCCTTCAAATCACAACTGCACCCTCCCTCCTTTGAGACTTTCCTCAAGCCCCCTAGGCAAAAGTGGAATCACAGACTCAGCTGACTGCCAAGTGGAGAGACCTTTGAGGCTGCTCATGTTGTAGTTGGAGAAACATACTGAATGGGCCATACCTCATTCATTAATCAGCTCACTTATCAAGCACTTCCTGGGTACCAGTCACATGGAAGATGCTGGCTGCATTCCATGGGACACAAAGATGAGTGCTCCATGTGCACAGGATGCACAAAGGAATGAACAATGGCCACAGACTAGAGCTGGATTCAAATTCCAGCTTGGTCACTTTGGCAGGTCATCTAACCTGGCTGAAACCAGTTTGCTCATCCATATGATGGGGATAATAATAGTATAAATTTGTTGTGAGGACGAAGTGAAATGATGCATGTAGTGTCGTTGGCATAGCATCTAGGTCTCAATTAATATTCACTGCCAGCTATTATTTCAATTATGCAAGGCAGATTCTGGATGGTTACCTAATTATCTCAGAGTCGAAGTTCTATGAAGCACTGGGTGCTTGCGGTGGGAGAAATCAAGGAAAGTTTTCTGGATGAGGTAGTAAGTCGTTCGGCTGTACTTTGAATGTAGGCAGGACATCCACAGGGAGAGAGATGGTAGTGTTTTGGCATGTGCTATTTACTAGCTGTGTAATATTGGGCTAGTCAATTAACTTCCCTGAACCTTAGTCTCCTTTCCTGTAGAATGGGTATGGTTATCATTTGTAGACTGTTGGAAGGGTCAGCAGTGATATGGATAATATATATAAAGTGCCCGGCACATAGTAGGTCCTTCTCTAGGCTCACGCCTATGTCTTTTAACCTCTGACCCTCCTTCCCCATCAGGCAGATCTGCAAGGAGTTTGCGGACTTGATGGCTCAGGACCGTTCACCGCTGGGCAACAGCCACCCAGCACTCATCCTGGAGCCTGGAGTGCAGAGTTGCCTGACACACTTTAGCCTCATCACCCATGGCTTTGGTGGGCCCGCCATCTGTGCTGCCCTCACTGCCTTCCAGAACTACTTGCTGGAGTCCCTCAAGGGGCTGGACAAGATGTTTCTAAGCAGTGCGGGTAGCGGGCATGGTGAAACCAAGGCTTCAGAGAAGGATGCCAAGCATCGGAAATAACTGCTTCTTCCGTCCCATCCCAAAGGGGCTCCCAAGGCCTGAGATGAGGCCTTAGCTGCTGGGGCGTGGGCCTGAAAGGACAAAAAGGTGCAATTAGAGTCAGGCCAGAAAAAGAACATACATCAGAAACCCCAGGGTTAGGGGTCTGGTTTGGAGTAAGGGAGGGTGGCCTCTCTATGGTGGTTTGTTGGTAAGTTAAAGGCCCAGGTGTCTGTCTCATGTGTGCAATTTTCTTACCTTTGATTGCTGAGAAGGGCTTGGACAGGAAATTGGCATGGAAAAATGTGGCTTATGGTGCAGAACCCTTCCCATTAGGGTGCCTGGGCAGCAATGGGTGCTCCTAGTGACCAAGGCCTTCCTGTTTTTTACTGATGGCAAGAGAAAAATTGTTAGCAAATCAAGAGGTGCTACTGAGGAGTTGATACCCCTCATCCCAGAAGCCCTTTGCCCAGAAAAGGGGTGCAGGCTGGAGACCCCAGTGGGCTCTTTAGACCCCTCCTAACCTTGGAGAGAAGTAAGCAGAAGGGCCCTCAAAAAACAAAGATGTTTGGATCCCCCTACTGACCAGCTGCCAACAAACAAAGAAGATAAAGCACAAATTGCAGTACTTGAATCCAGGCTGCACCTCAGTCTTGTTGTCTGTCCTATTTATTTATGTATGTTGTAATTAAATTTGAACATTTAAAAATGTCCAGTGCAATTTATTTATCCCAATGAGTTGGGGATTCATTTCACTGTTTTCTGCCCATGCACCAAGATGTCCAGCTGGACCAGAAGGAGATAGTGTTTTTGCTCAAAAAGGGCTGTGGGTGGGCTGGGAGGGAAGAGCAGTGTGTCAGGTACCCTGAGGTTGCCGCTGGGATTTTGTATTGACTGTTGTTTCTCTTGACCCTGAAGTTGATGTACCTCCCCATCTCTCAGAATGATTTCTCATTGTTGTAATAAAAAGCTTTCACTGGATATGATACCCTCCCTGTCCTTTTTCAGCCCAGGCCTGGATTTGCCTCCTAAGAGGGCAAGGTCACTGGGGAGAGGCAGTGCCTGGGAATTAGGATGGGGGGGAAGGGGCCTCTAAGAGGGAACCCCAAAGAGGGATTGTAGGCACCTCTGTGTGAGAGGGGATACAGATGTTGGTGGATCTATCTGGGTTGTCCGTGTGGCTATTAGTTTGTGTGTATGTGTGTCAAGTGAATACTGTGTATGTACTATTGTGACTTGGTGCGCCTGTGGGTGAATGTGTTAGTTCAGCTGTTAGGTTTACGTGATGTTGTTACCTTGACCATTGGTGGTGGGGCTGTCTGTGTCAGTGTGAATGCTGGTGACTATGTGTGTGCGCGCATGTGTGTGTGTGCATATCAGGCAAATCTAACCCAGCTCTCTTGTCTTGAAGATTTCATTCTTCAGGCATCTTTTCTTTCCTGCATCATTGATCTCTCCCTCTCTACTGGATCGTCTACTAGATCATTCCCCAAAGGACATGTGTTTTACAATCAGTTATCTTACAAAACATAAATTCTTTCTCTGTTTATTTCCTATGCAGTTACAGTTTTTGAACGATTGCTACATCCCTACCTCCACTTCCTCACTTCCAGTTCACTCTTCAACTCACTTCAATCAGGCTTCTGTCACTACCAGTCTACTGAAATCCATTCAGCATGGTCATCAGTGACCACAGCATCAAATCCAAAGACGTTTTGTCTGGATTTAACAGAAGCATTTGACATGGCTGACCACTTGCTCTTTTCTGAAACACTCTTAATCTTTGTGGTTCCCAACTTCTGGTTTCCTGTTACTTCACTGTTTCCAATTCTGTCTTCTTTGCTGGATCCTTCTCTACCTGGCCTCGAAATGTGTGGCCTTCCTTGGAGCCTTCTTTTCTCTATCCACACTTTTTCCCTAGATGGTCTTACTCAATCCCATGACTTTAAATATCATCTATAATGCTGCTAACTCCTGAATTTATATCTTTAGCCCAGAGAGCTTCCTGAACTGAATGTACAACTGTCTGCCTGATGTCTCTGCTGGGATGTCTAACAGGCATCTCGAACTTATGTCCAAAATGGAGTACCTGACTCAAGCACTCAAATCTTGACCTCTCCAGACTGTTCCACCTCAATCTAGAAACTGCAGAGTCATATTTAGTTCTTCCCCTACACTCCATCCCTCAGAGAGTCCTGTTGATTCTGAGTCCATCCTCTTCTTTCTTTGTCCTCTGCCACCACCCTAGTCCTCTGGACTACTGCTATAGTCTGTCAACTGGTCTCACTGTTTTCTCTGGTGTACCTTTGTACTAAGGCCCTGCAACAATCTGGACGTTGCCTACTTCTCCAACCTCATCTTAAACTACTCTCTTTGTTACTCATTTTGCTTCACCCACACTGGTTTCTCTTCTGTTCCTCAAACAACCCCTTTGTTTTATGCCTTGGGGCCATTGCACTCACTGTTCTTTACCTGGATGCTTTCTCCCCATGTCTTTGTAGGTGTGCTGCCAGGGACAGATGTTGGGGTGCTTTGCAGAAGTGAAGGGTATGCTAGGGACATGGGGTCTAGGGATCATCTCTCAGGATAAGGGTCCAAAGATGTGATTTCTAAGAAGTTTCAGTGCCTCAACCTACTCATATGAAAGGAGGAATGGGGAGAAGGCTGGGAGTATGCTCTGCTTTAACTGAAGCCCAGGACCTGGCAAGAGACATTCTACTACTAAAATTAACTTACTGTGGGAAGTTGACAGGATTAAATTAGAAAACAGACATATACCACTTACACAATGCCCAGTATATATGAAAGTACTTCAAAAAATTCATGGAACAGCGGTGCTCCCGCCACGGGTTCAGATCCTATATAAGGATGGCCGGTGCGCTCACTGGCTGAGCGTGGTGCGGGCGACACCAAGCCAAGGGTTGCGATCCCCTTACCAGTCACAAAAAAAGACAAAAAAAAATTCATGGAAAAATAGGATTAAAAGATAATTCAAATCTCTCTGTGAACTTTTTGAAGTACTCCCATAGTAACAAAGTAATAAAAGGTTGTAGATATCCAGAAAGTAAACATGGACAATAGTAGTTTATGAAGAACTTTTCAGGGTTGGACAACTTTCCCTAAGGAAGAGACCTCATAGTCCTCACCAAGTCCTACTTGTAGAAAATTGTAGCTCAGAGCAACTTGCCCAAGGTCACAGGGCAAGTAAGTAGGACTCACGCATACCTGTCTGATCCAACCCTCTCTTCATTTCCACTGAACCACATGGCCCTCTGCAGAGAGGCTCCCAGGCCTGACCCCAACGAGGGGAAGCAGGTCCTCCTAGCCCCTCGTGCCCCAAGGCTCTGATACACCAGCATATAGTCAGGATCATAAACAGTGCAGAGGAAGCTGTACAGTGTAGAGACTGCATAAGTGGCAGAAGAAACTTCTAATGAAGTCTCAGCATTTGATTCTTCCCAGTAAGTTGTTTTGGTTTTTTGTTTTTTTAATAGCAAAACAAATTGTGTTTTAGCCTCTGACTAGCTGGGTTTAGCCCTAAGGAAAGTAGATGATGGTTAAAGAAAAAGCATACATAGATGGTTTACATGGCCTCTTTTTTGCAGAGCAAGTAGCTGTGAATTAAATGAGGAGTATTTATACTGGGTAAGCATCGTGATTTTCAAATTGTGGGAGTTTAAAAGTTTATACTCATTTAAAGAAAAGACTTACCCATTTTCTTAGTTTCCTGGATCATAGTGTTCCAGCAGAAATAAGAAAAGCATAGCCTTTGGAAAGCTTCCCTCCCTAAAACCTCATGAAGGAAGGTGAGGGCGATGCAGGCCTTTCTCCTCCCAAACACACACACTCATACCTCACTCACACGGGAACGAAGTGAGTCACAGACATCTAGAAAGAACCCCCAGAATGTGCCTCCTTCTCTTGCGTGGTCACTGCTATTGCTCTAGTCAAAGGCCAAAGTGAGGACACTGGGCTTCAAGCAGTGCAGGCTCAGCTCCTGTTGCTCAACTGGTGACACCATGAGCCTCTCAAGCCATTGCAGCACCCTCTTCCAACTCTCTCAGAGGTTCCTCGTCAGCCTTCCCACCCTTCTGTAGTCAAGGCTGAGCTCCCCTACCCTGAGGCAAAACAGCTGCTCTCTTCTCCAACCTATCCCCCTCCCACCCCAAGCCTGGGAAGGAATACCTTGCTTTCTGTGTACTCATCACCTGAAAGCAAATGAGAACCAATCAGAGACCATTCTGAGCAGTGTTTGGCCAGAAGTATTAAAGAATTTATATATATATATATATATATATATATATTTTTTTTTTTTTTTAAAGAATTGATATATTCCCAGTGTTTTTCAAACTTCAGGAATCTATTTAGGACACAACTGGCATTTTAAAAAATAAAACCCAGCAGAAGAAAATAGAAGATATCAGAGTACACTGCATCATGACTCAATACAGACATGCATACATATATACACCTGTAAGAACAATTCCACAAAGCAACGCTTAGTCTTCTTACAGTAGGCAAGTATAGGTGTGAAGTTCTAAGTGTATGACTGAGACCATGTAAATTTAGTTGGATCACAGGCTTTATGAGGGGTAGAAGAGGAAAAGGAAATTGGGGAGCTAGGTTGTGAGATTATAAATGCATGCTGTTTCAAACCAAAGAACTGTGCTTTATTCTATAAGCAACAGAAAATCATCAAAATTATAAGCGAGGAAAGGGATAGATGGTCAAACTAGTTTTTTTAAGTATGGAGAAAGAACTGGAGAGGGAAGAGATTAAAAGTAGAGCAAAGTTAGGCGGCTGTTGAAGTAGTTCAAGAAATGATAGGGGGTGAACCAGAATAATGAGGATAGAGATTTAAAAGAGATTTAGGAAGTAGAAATGCCAGAACTTGGTGGCATTGTGAAGATAGGAGATAAAGATGGTATCAAAAATGATGCCTAGCTAAATGCAATGTGGTATCCTGGATTGTATCCTGAAACAGAAAAAGGATATTAGGGGGGAAACTGGTGAAATATGAATAAAGACTGGAGTTTAGTTAATACTAACATACCAACAAATGTTGGTTTCTTAGTTTTTTGTTGTTGTTGTTGTTGTTGTTTTTTTAAAAAAGATGACCGGTAAGGGGATCTCAACCCTTGGCTTGGTGTTGTCAGCACCATGCTCAGCCAGTGAGCAAACCGGCCATCCCTACATAGGATCCAAACCCGTGGCCTTGGTGTTATCAGCACCGCACTCTACCGAGTGAGCCACAGGCCGGCCTGGTTTCTTAGTTTTGACAAATGCACCATTGACATAGGAGGTGCTCAGTTTCCCTGGGTTCAGGTTTCAGGACACACTTCTGAATTTCAAGCTACTGCCCAAGGCCTCAGGTCCCTCCTCTAGGCCCTACCTTAGAAGAGAGTTACTGTTGCTTATTGTACCTATTTTTGATACCAACACAGGGAGACCCGAGACCACAAGGGGTGGGCTTATGCAAATCCAATAGCTGAGCATGCTCAGTAAAAGGAATTTATACAGGCTTACGTGACTCCCCAGTGACCAAGCATGCTCAGTGGAAGGGAGTTTATCCTCTGAATGACCTTCCACTAGAGGTGCTAAAGAGCACAGAATATTCTTCAATATGTCCAGTGCATGTGAT